GAGACTTTCTAATTCTTGAATTATTTCAAGCATACTCATAAATACTCACTGAAGCATTTTTATGATGACTGCTTTAAGTTCCTTGTCAGATAGTCCTAACATCTGTGCCATCTCGTTGTTGTCATTATTTTTTTTTTACTCAAATTGATATTTTCTTGGGTCTGATATGATGACCTTGTGTCATGAATGATTTTTTTATTGAAACCTGGACATTTTTAGTAGTATGTAATGAAACTGTGGGGTTTAAAAAAAATGTGTTTTAGCAGGCCTCCTCTGACAACATGCCAGTGGAAGAAAGGTACACTACCTCGTTACTGTCAAGTTAAGGTTCCCCACTGGGCCACCACCAATACCCCAGTGTTGAGGGGCTTCTCATTACTGCTATATGGGGGTGGGAGTTCAGGTACCCCACTAGATTTCCTCTTATACCACCAGGGATGCAAGGGACAAGGATACCATGTGTTTCTGGGATGAAAGTCTGAGCTCCATACTTGGCCTACTGTGACACCACCATGGTGATGAATGGGGGAGAGGTTATTTGCTACAGCATGATGAAAGCTCTCCACTTTGCCCTTGCTGGCTGGGGTGAGGCTGGGACCAGTTTTTTCCATGGTGTTTGACTGAAGTAAAATTATTATTGTGTAGAAGTTTTCTATCTTTCTAGGCTGACCCTTTCATGATTCTTTGGCTAAAGAGGGAAAGATTTTCATTGACTTTTTATGTCAGTGCCCATTGGCATTTTTGGGTTTCTGGCTTCTCCAGCACCAAGTCTGGGATATATAAGGCAAAAAAGAAACCTAGAGCACTCACTTCAAGTGAGTCACCCCTCTGGTTCTGAGGTCTCTAGCTGGTCTGACTTCTTATCTCCACCTTTCAAAGTCTTCTTCAATTTGTTTTATGTATAATATTCAGCATTTGTATCTGTTTTCATAGGTGGGATAGGGAAAAACCAGTCCCAGAAATTTCAGTGGATTTGAGGTAACTGTGAATCCCCTAAAGGGGTCACAGAATACAGTGTGAAAATTACTGGATCTGAAGTTCTCCACTGGTTTAATCCTGACCTTCTTTGGATCTTTGATTTCCTTCTGGTATGACAGCCCTTAATTGTATTGACCAATGATTGTGAAGAAAGAACTCAGTTGTCTAGAAAAAGGGAATTAAGGTAAGTTTGTTTGTAGCCCCTATGCTCTGTCAGTATATTTAAAGGGCTCCTGAAGTTCATTAGTTACAACTATTTATAGAGCTATTGAACTAGAAGTAGCTTTGCCTAGAACTTGACTTTCCCTGAAACCTGGCTTTCCTTGATTTCCAGGCCCAGCCTGGTTGACAGGTGAGTTCTAACCTTGGAAGGACCCAGCTTGGATGCTTGAAGCTGTTCAGCCTGAAGGGAAGGCTTAGGCTAGGACTTATTGGGATCAGGGAATTTAGAGCCTACCAAACAATGTGGCACCTCCGAGTGGTGGGGGCTGCCAGATGACCAAGCTCTCCTGCAGATACAGGGAATCTCTCACCTGGGGGCAGGGGAGATGAGGAAGAAGGTAATGGCCACAATTGCTGAGAGGCATATACAGGACGAGTCCACCTCACTGAAGTATGTGGGCAGAAGTTTAGGCATGTTCTCCACTTTTCCTTTCCACAGGTGCTGCCTTAGGAGCTTCCCTGCCTTTAATTGCATGTTATTTGCTACTCTTTCCATCCCCTCTCTGAGGCTTAGCAAAGCACTGGAAGTCTAGAAAAGAGGGACATTTTGAGCTAGCTATGTTGACCACTTAGACACACAAATCCTTTCCCATAAAAGCAGGGCCTCCCAGGAACTGTTCTCCCCCCATCCAATAACCAAACCAGACAAAAGGTCCTTTGGGGGTCTGTGGGAATTAAACAAGGCCCTGGAAATTAGCCCTCAATGGTGATTATTCTATTGAATAATAAGAGAACTGAGGGAGTAAGGCATAGGAGAGTTCATTTTGGAGCTTTACCTCCATTTTGAGACACAGAGGAACCCCAAAGACAATGTTGTGTATTCCCAGGGAAAGACAGGTTAGAGACTCCTAATTACTCTTCCATACTCCCCTCCTCATCCCTCTCCCTCCATAGGAGAGGATGGTGTGGGGGTGGGGTGGGGAGGTGCACAAGGACTCTGGCTCAGCTTCTTCAGCCTTCATGCCTCCATCCTGGGGCTTTGGTGCCACTCACTGTCCAGAGTTTTCCTTGGGGGGGGGCAGAGTGGGCCTGGGGGCAAGCAGAGTTTCTGAGAAGTCAGGGGAAAGGAAAGATTCACTTACTTCCCTACTTTCTCTAAGGAAGTGTGGAAAGAGCCTTGGAGAAGGGGTTTGAAAACTGGCATTTAGTTCCCCTCTGGGCCTCACTTTCCCCATCTGCAAAACAGGTATGAGAGCAGCTGCCTCTCAGGGTTGGGGGGAGGTGTCAAATGTGATGAGGGATATGGGAGCATCTGTGAACTGTAAGTTGCCCACCCAAAGGTGAGGGCACCCTGTTATTGTTGAAGGGAGCCTCTGTGTCCGCATATGCTGCAGGGAAGACTCCTGTGTTCATGGAGCTAAAGGATGAAGGAGCTGTGTCAGTGTCCGGTGGCGGGGGGCAGGACGAATGAGGAGGCAAGGAGCTAAAAGATCTCCCCCTGACAGGAGGAAACTCTGGCCCTTGCAAGGCTTTGAGGCAGATGGAACTGCAGGGCTGGGCCTCCCAGAACACTCCACCCTAGAGGAGGGTGTATGTGGGTGTGTGTGTTGGGGGCGGGGAGTGGAGATGGTTACCCTGGCCCTCTCCTTCACTCCTACTTAGGCAAGTGGATGGAGGAAGCAAGTGGGTGGAGGAGTGTCGGATGGGGAGCAAATTGAGGAGGGGGTCTGAGTGGACCTGGTCCATTCCTGTGTCTCTGTTTAGGTTTGGGGGAGGTTTCTCAAGCCTAGGAAATCCCGCTAGCTAGTTCACCTGTGCGAACCTAGGGCAGCTGGTGGGGGCTCATCTTCACCCTGCAGAGTACCCAAGGACTGCCTGGTGAGGGAACCTACCTGAGCTGGGAGCTCCCTCCAGCGTGGTTGGCCACCCCTCCCCAGGGGTTCTGGGACAACTATTACGGGAAAGTGGTGGGATTGATGGGTGGGCCAATTCTTTGGAAGAAGCAGCCCCATTGTGCTGACTGCATGGAGGAGGCAGCCCCGCAGGCCCGGCCCAGGGTTGGAGGTTGGAAAGGAGGGTGGAGGATGGCTGCTTTGGACCAAGGGTTTCCTGGAGGCGATTCCCAGCCCCAGCTCCCGCATCTCCGAGAGCCCCTTGCCTAGAATCACTTAGATCCTTCGCCAGCTGCAGGCTGACTCCGTCTTTTGGGGCCTTGGGGCCAGATCAGGTAGGGGGAAGAGAGAAGAGGGCCGCCCATCCAGCTTGAATCACCTCCAGGACTCTGGATCAAGCGCTCCATGGGGGCAGCGACACTGCAGTCCCTGGTGGTGGTGGTACGGGCAGGGCAGTGGGGGCAGGGGATCGAGGAGGACCCAAGCCCTGGACACATAGCAGCTGCAGTCTATTCATCTGGCTCCCGGAACAGTTGGCAGGGCCTGGGGTTAGGTTCTCCCGCCTTCCTTCCCACCCCCTTCCCCTGGCCGGTCCTGATTCCCATCTGAATAGCAGGGTCAGTTGTATGTCCATGGCGGGTCTCCCAGGTTCTTACCTTTCCCAGACACGGAAGTGGATGGAGAGCCACGGAGGGGCAGGAGCTGTGCCCTTCCCCACCCAAAGTGACCGGAGGCCAGTGGCAGAACCAAGGGATGCTGCAGCCAGGGCCCCAGGGACCCCAGCCCCATCTCCATCACCAGGCACTCCCCAAGTGTGAGTGTCGGGTGGGTGGGGAGACCTGGTGGGAAGTGGTACCGGTTAGCACCCCATCCCCGGATCCCAGAGACCAGTCATTTCAAGGGCAGTATAGGGTGGGTGTGCAGTGGAAAAGGGGTAATGTTCGCCTGTCTCTAGCCTCCCATCCCTGGAGCAGGTAGGCCTGGGGCGCACGGAGGCTCTGGGCTGGGGGGCCCTCGACAGGTGCTGTCAATCCAGGCGTCCTACCGACCAGCCAAGAGTGCTGCTGGACTCAGCTCTGACACTTGTTAGATGTGAGCAATGGGCTAATTTTATCCGGCTGGGCTCTGGCTCAGCAGGAAACCAATGCTAAGGAGCACATAGTTCTTCCAGGTGGTTTTGGCCAGGAGGAGGCCAGTCGCCAGGCAGTGAGGAGGTGGAAATGCTGGGGCCTGGTCCTGGAAGGGCCCTGGTTGTTCCTGTATTGTCCCAAAGGCTCTGAGGTCAGTATGCTCTGGGCTGCTGGGATCCAGAAGAGAAAAAGGTATCTCAGATAAAAGATAGTAAAACTCCTTTTTGTGTTTTTTTTTTCTCTTAGTTCTCTCCACCTCTGCTTTCATTCTGAAATCCCCGAGTTCTAGCAGAGTGCCTGACACATAGCAGGTCCCTAGAAAATATTTATGACTTGAAAATCAGTCATGGAACTCTGCTTCTGGTGACCACTAGGGAGAGCTAAAAGGCAGGAATTGAGAGCTTTCTAAAGCAAAACCTCCTCAATCCCTGCTGGAGTTGGGTATCTAATCCCTTTCTTTGTGCCTCTGGGGTCTCCTGTACATTTCAGCCCATTAAACTTTCAGAACTTCCTTCAAGGGTTCTGGTTCAAACCAGCACCCACCCTATCTAGGCACCAGCTGTCAGACATCAAGGATTTCCTGGGGGTACCCATAATTCCTTTCAGCTGGCCTGCTCTGTTACTGTGGAGAAGTGGCAGGGAGCTTGCTGGCTCCCTCTTCAGACATGAAAAGGCCCTGGAGGAGAGCATGTGCTCATAAAAATTATGGGATTCCACGGCTTTGAAATCTAATGATCTGAGTGATCAAACACAGACTGGGGCCTTGAGGCTACTGGAGGGGCTGAGGGGGCAGAACTTGGGTGGGAGAGCCTAGGACTAGGCAACAGGACAGAGTAATTAGTCTCACTGGGAGGAGATGAGGAGGCTGGCAGCCTGGGGATGTCTGCACTGAGTCAGGGGAGAAACAACAATCATCAAGAGCTGAGTAGTAAACCACCCTCTCTCAAAGGGAACCCCCAGTCCTCTCTCTTTATCCCTCCCCTGTTCAGTGTATGGCCACAGAGAGATGGACTCTATTTGTACCTCTTGGTTTCCTGGGGGTGGAAGAGCAGTAAGTGGGACCAGCTTTCCAAGGCCAAGGCTGCATGAAAGTCTGAGTGCTTGGGAAGAGACAACACCAGAAGTATGTGTTGGTTGGGAACGAGGGTAATCGTGAAAAAAAAAAATGGGATATGCTAAAATCAAACTTTGCTCAGATTTCATTTTTGCTTGGAGCTGGTCCTTTTGACGCCCTTGTGGAAATGGGCTTGCTACATAGTTGTTAAATGAAGTAGACAAGTCATTTCCCTTATTAACTTGGTTTCCTCATCTGTAAAATAAGGGGTTTGGACTGGAAGTCAATTACCTGAATTCAAGTCTCAGCATGCTCTGTCACTGATGAACTATGTGAATCTGCTCAGTCCCTTGCTATATCTAGGCCTCAGTTTCCCCACTTAAATCAATGCAGAGGATGGACAAAGTTACTCCCAGCTTTGTCGTTGTTGTAGGTCTTTCTTCCGCATCACCAATTCCAGGGTCTGTTGCTGTCTGGCTGTGTAACCCAGCTATACCAGTTCCCTCAGGTTCTCCCATCAATAACAAGGGAGAGGATTAAAATGGATTGTTCCTAAGGTCTTTGCCCATTTTCAACATGGCATGTATGTAGCAAGGTGGTGGCCTTCATGAGGCCTCCACTTGGCCTCTGCTACTGTGTTCTCATTTTGTAAAGTGACTACTTTTCCACTTCAGAGCTCCCTAAAAATCTAATCCTGAAAAGTCCATCCAACTCTAAATCCCCTATAGATCCTTTTCCAATTTCTGCTCTTACAGAGAGTATAGACCCTGGCATAAATTTTATTTGAAATGAGATTTCAGTTTTGAAACCAAACTTCCTGCTGTTAACTAGGTTAAGACTATTTCACCCTGTAGGCAACACACATACCAAATCTACATTTTTAGATCTGTTTATTTTGTTCCAAACCTTTTGAGGATTTAAATGTCCCAGATCTCAAGCTCCCAAATTTTGTTCGTTCTCCTAGATTTAACTGTGGTGCATTAGAGGCTGCATCCTACCCTAAATATTAATACTGAGCTGCTTTCACCAACTGACATTCTCTCCAAAAGCACACAAGCTCACACATGTACATGCACATATGTGGAAGAAGTAAACTGACACCCCACTATGTTATGTGACAACTGATAGGGCAGATTTGGGACCTGTGAATGTCTTTCCTTCATCTGGAGAGAAGTGGTTGGCAGCCTGATTTTTAAGAGCTTTCTTCACCTTGAACAACAAAGGAGGCCCTGCAGACCTGCCCTCCAATGATTTGGTGGGGGAGGGACAGGAAGAATGGACACAGGGGCTTTATTGCTCCAACATTTTCAGTGGTCTCTCCTTGGAGTTACAAGACTCCTGGGGCTCAGCTTCTCCTGTCCCACTGCTGTTTAATCCAGGAGGATAGTAATTAGGCCCCTTCCTACCCACAGGGCTAAGAGCCAGTGAGTTTTCCTTTGGGAAGTTGATAAAAGCTGGACTAGGACCAATGGAGGGGGCGTAGGACTTTGGCCTTGAATGAGGCCATCATAGGCCAACCATGTCCCAGCTGCCTGTTTGTAACGGAAAATGTCATGGTTAGGGACCACTGTCTTCTTTGGAGCCTCTCACAGGTAACCTCATCCTCCTGGCCCTGGATGGCCCTGGCTTAGGGTGGTAAGTCACTGTTAGCTCCAAGTAACAGCCAAGGATGCCTGACAAGAAGGTGATGAAAGATTAGGGTAACAGGAGCACAAAGGCCCAGAATACAGAGAAAGAGACACAAAGAGGCCAAGTAAGGAGAGAGGCTGATCTCCTAAGGAGGTGAGTTGTGCTAGCTTGGACACAGCCTCGCTGGGAATGCTCTTCAGTAAGAGTGTTGCTCAGAATCTGAGCATAGGGAAGCATCTGGCACCTATTTCAGAAGGATTAAGATGGTCCAGAGCCTACTTTCCTGGCACCTTTAATGCCCACTAAGTAGTGGCTCAGGATACCTAGCGTGGGAGATATATTGGGTGGTAAAGGTTAAGATGCTTTCCTCTTCCTAAAAGAAATTGTTAAATCCTACATGTAGCTCTGCCTCTACCTTTTGGGGATCCAGGTTGGGAATGGGATTTTCCCTAAAACAGCCCCTTTCCCACCCTGACCCAGGTGGAAATATTAACCTATCATGACTAATGAGAGATGGAGAAGTTGGTCCTTTGCCAGGTCAATAATTATTGCCCCTCCCCCAACCATGCCCTCCCCCATCATCGGTCTTCCTTTGCCTGCTGAGATGAAAGGAACTTCTTCACATTTTGACAGGTGAATACACAGATGGGGAGCTGGAAGTGCCTACAGGTTAATGCACTGGCCTGGGAAACCTGTAAAAATCAGTGAGTGGAAATTTTGGTGTTTAAAGTCCCTTCCCTATGTGTTATTTGACTCTTCCAGTTTATAATTATAGCAGCTTGAGCCAAAAAGTGAGATGTGGCTCAGCCTGAGATGAGTGGAATTGATGATCATGTTAGGGGTGGGCTAGGCCAAGGTGAGGCTGATTGGCCCAAGCTCTAAGTCCCTTCTGTCTTCAAGCACCCATGCATCTATGACAGTCCTAAAAAGAAATAGAAAAAGAAGCAGTAGAGAAAAAAAAAAACAAAAACAAAGAAGGGAAGAAGGAAGCAGATTGTTAACCAACTATATGGTGGGGCGACTTACTTGTACACTTGTAAAGTGATGTCACCCATAGCTCTTGGGAAGCCACAACCCTAAGAGACTCTGAAACTAAGCAAGTCTCCTTGTCTGATTTTACCTCTCCGCCCTTTCTCTGCCCCCTTACCAATGGCTCCCAAGGATAGATGGCAAGGAACTCCTGAGCACACAGAGGCTTGGGTCTTCCCACCAGGCTCCTAGGGAAACGGTAGCACCTTTGGAAGTTGCTTTTAGTGGGTGACTAGCAAGCTGGGGCCAGGAGGTACCATCTCCAGGTATTAGAAAGTATATGGAGATGTTCCAAAGGCCAGGGAGATTCCAAGCTTTCCTAGATCCTGAGAGAAGGACCCTGGCAAATTTAAAGGCATTCACAGGGAAAATTTGGTTAATGAGTTTAACATGAGCTTTGGCTCCAAGGGGCTGGTCAGGTGGATGAACTGCTGTGTGTGCATGTTTGAGAACAAGTGTGCTGATGGCAAAAATGTAAATGCTGAGCAGGTGGGGTGAAGGGAAAGGGTTGGGGAGGAACACACAACGGCAAGGAAAATGCATTAGATTGGTTCCTCAGGGATGGGGGAACCCGGCAGCAGCTCCCCATTGGGGTCTGCATCAGGGGCCAACATCTTATCCTTGCTGGAATCCCTTTGCTCTTTCTTGAACATCCTTTGATGCATCAGAGGTACGAAGAAGAGGATTATAGCCCCAATGATGGGGGGCACACCAGCAAAGTAGAAGGCCACATGGTAGTCCCCAAAACAGTTGCGGAGGAGGCCTGAAACAGTCAAGAAAGACAAATCAAGTTCAGCTTTGCCCTCCTGCCCAAAGGTGCTCTCTGCCTCTTTCAGGGGCCATAACAATGCCTATCCAGAGAACCTTGACCTGCACTACCTTGACCCAAATGCCCCCTCAATTTAAACATTCCTAGTGAAAAAATAAATAAATAAAACCTCCGTTGCGAAGTCAGATGGCTCCTTCCTGAGGTAATGGGGATGCAGGCCCTTGGGGTTAATGCTTATTATGAAAGGGGCTAATGAAGCTTCTCTTTAAAGTTCTCCATTTTTTCACTTTCATGAAGCTACAGCTTAACTTCCATTTGCTCCTAGGTATGGAGTTAGGAGGGAACCTAGTTTAAAAGAGTTCCACAAAAGATGGCCAAGCCTTGTCTTGATTCATAGTGATATACCCTTCAACCCCCAACTTAGACTAGAGTGTTCTTGTGGAACAGTTCAGCTAAGTTCCTATTTTCTCTTTCTCTGAAGTTCCCATTTACCCTGAGAATGCAATATATATTCTTCATCCCAGTTACAGTTATGGTTGGCCCCTCTGGGTTCCTATAAGTTGCCAATACCATGAATATGGTTGGCATGGTATGCAAGAACTCCCCTGCTTGCCTTCAGAAGATAATGTGGGGTACCTCATAGGAAAGATGAGCCCAGAAATACTACCGAGGAAAGGCAAGTAAACCTTTGAGTTGCTTAGATGGTAAGCAAAGTAGAAAGAGATGTGGATTCTGGGATCCACCTCTGGGATCAGAGGCTGGGAGGAGTCTCCCCTCTCCCAGTGAGCAGTGTGGCTATTGCACAAGGGCCGGGTGGAAGCTTTTGTCACTGTCACACAGCATGACATGCCCTTGCAATGCCTTACACAGAATTGGTGTTCAAGGGATATTTGTTGAGTTAGCCCAGTTGGCCAATCTAGAGAGGCTAGCCCATGAATCAGTATTTGCAATAAATCCTAAAGAAAAGAAATGGAGTTCTCTTTTCATTGGTTTTTCTTTGTTTCCTATGTTCCTTGGGATATCAACAATGCCCATCTTGGAGAGTGGAGAAGGAAACTGGGAGTACTGAAGGACTGCGAGCCAACACTTTGCCTGCTGCCTGCTGGAAGTAAGCTTCACTGGCTCAGTCCTGGGATTTGGCTTTAATCAAATCTCTTCTACAGGCTCAGTTCAGAAGCCAATGGAGAAGGAGGGGGGATCTCTAAGCCTTAATAAAGCTGGGGTCCACTTTCTCTTCTCTTCCTGCCCAACTACCTTGCAAATAATTCCTTTCCTATAAAGAGAGAGAGAGAGAAGATACTGGACCAATAGAATGATCAAGAAGGCCAAACCCATTTCTCTCTCTACCCTCTTGGAATCAGCCAGGCTGTCTAAAATAAAACCCCACTGAAACAGAGAGAGAGCCATGAAAAGCCCATTCCCAGAAAATGAATCCATGCACATATACTGTACTTAGCCTCTTCCACCAATAGTGGTAAGGGGTTTCATGCACTCTAACAAGGCTGCTTAAATAGAAAATAAGAGTAAAAGGGACTTCAAGCAGAGTTGCTCAGGATTGCTAGGGCCCAGGGAAGACAGGACTCCCCCACTCATGCCCTCCCTGTAATATCAGCCTCACCTGCAATGGGGGGCCCAGCAATCATCGGCAGGGCCATCATGCCAAGGAGGTAGCCAATTGCCTGTGAGGCCTGCATTGGGCCCACCAGCTCAAATGCGATGGGGGCCATGATGGTGATGAAGAAGCCATCACACAGGCCCAGGAAGAGGCAGACAACGATGAGGCCCCCGAAGCCCCGGCATAGGGGAATCATCATGGACATCAGGCCCAGGAGCAGGAAGGAGATGACCTAGAGGAGCAAGGGCCTTAGGTCATGTTGTGCTTGTCAGTCAAGACCACATAGCAAATCATATCTCCTTTCTCAGGGTTTCATTTCCACCATCTATAAATTGGAATGGAGGCTGTCAACAGAGAACAGTTAGGCTAAATACTTACTTAGGTGCCTTCTAAGTCCTGCACTGAAGGATTCAAGGTTTTTAAGAGAGCTCCTGTTTAACTGTGATTCCATCAAGATTTTTTTAAAAAAATTAGGGGGTATGGCCCCTGTCCTTAAGAAGTTGTCTCTTCACTGGACTCTAAGCTAAAGGAAATTGCTGTTGTTCTGATCTTGCGTTTGGCTGTCCCAGGCATTAGGGTCGGAATCAGACCATGCTGGTGTTCTCAGATCCAAGATATGGGAGAGGAAGGGAAGAAAGTAAGGATAACTTGGATGATGATTAGATGGGGGCATGAATGGAAGTCACAGCTTCCCGAAATGAGGAAGGACCCAGTGCCCGTTTATGTGGGTGGCTCCTTTTAGAAAACACCTTGTCATGAAGGAAACCATTGGGAGGTTCACCCAGGTTCCTTATGATTTAGGACGTGGGACACACCACCATCTCAGATAGCATGGCTGTGGGGTCCTCTGGACTTAGCTGGGCACCATGCAAAGGGCAACAAAGGGGACTTTAAGGAGAACCAAGACACTAGGAGGTGTTCTAGGGAGCCTGAAGCCAGCTCAGGGGCATTGACTAGCCACTGGGCTTTCTTTGGGCTGAGCAAATTGACTCCAAAACAAAGAAACTGCCTGTCCAAAGGCTAGTTTTTCCCACTCAACAGAGAGAAGAGCAACTGGAAACACAGCTGATCTTTTGATTAAGGTCATCCGCAACCTGTGTCAGTGAGCCAGACTGAAGACCAGGGCTGTAGGAAGAGAAATAAACCCCCTCCTCCCACCCACTCTAGCCAGCAGAGCCAGGTCATCCCAGGGTCAGGGCTAAGACCTGATCTGTTTACCAAGTCCTTGACAGGACCCAGGATTTTCTAATCCTTCACACAGGCAGGGAAACTTACCCAGGAAGGGTAAATCACCACATCACCACATGGATGGGGTAGGAGGGTCAAGGCTGTTTCAAACCCTGAAGATTTTCTGTGTTGTACTGGCAGTGGGTTTGCTAGGTTGATCAGTTGGGTTTTAGAGAGGATAAGAAATGTCCTGGCTGTGCCATCTGAGGAAATCTCTTTGTTGGAAGATTCTTGAACTTTGCCTAGGCTGTTTTGGGATACCTAGGTGGAATCTAAGAATAAGGACCCTGATATCCCAGTTTCTCCTCTAGGAGATTCATGCACAACTATAAGATAAAACAAGACCCACCTATCAACCAAGTCATAATGGTATGGCAATTAAGAGTTAATACCATTATAAAACACAAAGGACCCCATTAACTGATTTCAGTCATCTGTCATTACTACCTATCGTATCTAGCTGCCCGTTAACATCCTCCATGAGGCCTTGCCAAGTTTAGAAATTAAAATACCTATTTGAACTGAGAATCAGACCTCAAGAATTGGCCCAAAGTGAGGTTGTCCTGCAGGTTGTCACCGTTTCTTTCTAACAGACTGTCCAGGAGCTTGACGCCAGATACATGTGTCTGGGTCTTTGCCAGTAGTGGGAACCACAGGGTCTAGTGGATATCTCTTCAGAATCTGAAGTTGTATACACTCCTTTCTTCTGCCAGGCCTATACTCCTACATCTGACCCAGGGAGAAAGTGAGGCAAATTCCTGTGATGGAGTATCTTGAGTAGCTCAAGAGAAAGAAATTTATCCATGTCTTGTTCTCTCTGCCTGAGACATTTGCCAGCAAGATGAGTCTGGACAAATCACTTTCCCTTTCTAGGCTTCAGTTTCTCAATTTGTAAAATGAGGGAGTTGGACTACAATTGATAGAAATATATTTTAGCTATAACATTCTAAGATTATTTTTGTATTACTCTAAGTGGTAAAACTGGGTCAAGTAAGACTGGAAAAGGGGAGAGAAGGTGTTGGGTGGGTAGGGGAAATGGTCAACAGAAGCCCTGGGCTCTAAGTCTAGTTCTGCTTCTAACTAATCAATGCCTCTACCTCCCCTGGAACTCCTTCTGCACAATAGAAAGCAAAAGCTGATTGGGCCCTATTTCTCTCCTAGGGACTGTGGTGAGAAATGAGCTATATGGCTAGGCAGGGGCTGCTGCTTTTCCTCAAAATAAAGTCCTGGCCAAATGCTAGCTTACCCTGATTTCCAGCACGGTTAGCATCTTGGAGCAAATGATAATGACAGGGAAGACCTGCAGGGGTGGCATATGGAAGAGACTGGAAAAGCCACACATTCTCCTATGCAAAAAGCTACCCAGATAAGGCACTCGCTGATATTTGCACAGGAATTCAGAATTTCATAACTGGTTTACCTCAATCACGGTCTTTTGCGTTGACTTCAGTCAAGTCATTTATCTCTGGGACATAGCTCTGCCATCCATTACTTAGCGTAAAGTGGAATATGAGAAAAGTGCTACATATGAATTCAACTTTGCCATGACTATATGAATCTTTCTGTATAATGAGAAGTTGGACTGGATGAACCATAAGGGCACCCCTAGCTCAGACAAAGCAGATTCACCAGCTTTTGCAAATTTAACACAGAGTTAAACACAACAGAAAACTTGAATCATATTCTTGTCTAAGACATCTGAGAGTATTAAGGAAAACACTTGGGTCTGTCAGAAGACAGAGAAATCCCGACTATGTCAGAGCCCCTTGGAAAGGCTTTTAGGGCTTTACCAGGAGAGTCAGAACTCAACCACCTTTTTAATGGATCATTTGTGACCACATGTTTTGAGGGGCTGCTGTTGCCCCTTCACAGGGTTCCACATTCATGTACATTCTGGTAAACCCAGCTGCAGGAGCAAAAAGCATGAACAAGGTCAGAAAGGCAATACTGATGCCAGGTAGACAAAGAGACAGCTTCAACAGTAGTCTCAAGCCAGACCAGAGCCCAATTCACACAGAAAGTGGCCTTTCTAGCATCTAGGTGGATACTGCCCACAATATGAGGCACTGTGTTACTGTCCGAAGGATTAAAATCTTTCATGGCTCTAACATTTTTTACTTCCCAAACCCTGGTCACACCTGTCAAAAGAAATTTTGATCCTCGCCTGCGAGGTGAGATAGGAAAGGCGAGAATTATTCTTATTGCACAAATGAGGAAAGTGAGGCCCATAGAGGGAAAGTAAGGTTGTGTTTTCTGGCACTTTTTTGGTGTCCATCAGGAAGATAGCATTTGAGAGCCAATGCCTGGTACAAGTGACTATGGAAGTATAAGGAGTGAATGACTTGAAACTGGACTTAGGGCCACAGAATACTACAGATGCCCAAGGCCTTCCAAGAGAGTATGGGAGAGCAAGGAGATCAGTCCTCAATGGGGACAACATCTAATTCCTGGCCTCAGTTTCCCTATTTCAGATGGAAGAGCTATTATTAATAAATGCTTTCTTTGAAAGCGTTCTTAGAGTTTCCATTTATACACTCCTCTCACTGGATCCTCACTCCATTTTGATGAAGGAGGCAGAACAAGGACGACAGTCTTCAGTTGAAAGAAGGGAAGCTGAGGCTCAGAGAATTTGATCGACTTTCCCATGTTGAACAATAAGCTCGTGTCAAAGCTGGGGCCCAGGGCACAGTAATGACATAACCTACCATTCTATCCCAAAGGCTGGGGGTTACCTAGTATCTGTGGCAGGCCCTCCCCACACTACTGTGGTCAGGGCAGGGTGGTCACACTCACCTGCAAGTAGATCTTCTTAAGTCCAGGAATGGAGTCACTGACACGGCCTGACACAAGGCGCCCAAGGCCTGAGGTAGCCCCAATACACACCAAGAGCACCCAGGTCTGCTTGATTTCCAAGAACTCCTCCTCCACATACTTCATCTGAAAAGCATAGCACCAGGACCCCCAGGGACAGGAGGAAGAAAAGGAGCTGACTGGTTAACTGTTTGCATATCCAAAACCCTCTACTGCTTACTTTCCTGGACCATGGCAAGAGCTCCCTCCCCTACAACCCCCTCCTTTGTAGCCCTAGCTCTGGAACAAGCTTTCTGGCTGCTTCTAATTGCTTAAAAGGCTTCGTATGCCTTTGCTCTTTGGATTCTGGGCTTCTGAGCAATAGCTGAGGGGAGTGGGTATCTCCAAGCCCCTTCCAAGCTCTGGCAGGACAGACTACAGACAGCCTTAAAAACTAAGAAAATCCAAGAGATCCCCCAAAATCTCCCCATTCCCTGACCCAGAACTGATAGCCTGGGGCAACAGCAGGTCACCAGGGGAGAAGATCCACCAACTTCCATATAATGCTTCCAGAAGTGTGTTTTAAGAAACACGAGGTCTATGGAAGATAATAACTGGACTACAACTGACAGTTCTGTGGAAGTAGAATTTGGGTGGATAATGGTTAAATAAAACTAAATGGATTTCTTTTACTGCTGGATTTTTGGTACCTTTAAAAGATTGCAACAATGTGAAGCTAGAAATATTGATTATGTGTCGATTCCTGAACAGATCATTTGACCACAAAGACCAGCATTCCATAGAATACACTCTTAGGAAACCCTATCCTTGGGTCATCTGGGCCAGTCTTCCATCCCAATGATGCTTATCTTCTGAAAACCTATCTAGATTTATCAGTGGGAACCCCACTGATAAAGCATGGGCTTTCCCCTAAGGAACTCTTCCCTTTTTCCATTGAGGTCTTCCCTCAGTCTGTTCTTTCTTACTCTGCATCTCTTCAAACATTGTTTGGTCTCTTTTTCCAAAGGTCCCAGCTCTGCCCTTTCACTGTCCTTCACCCCTACCCTCTGGACCTCGGGCAGACTAAGGGCAGCTTCTTGGAGGTAAGGTGGGTCCACCCTAGTATTCCTTACCAGGTGTACATAGGGAACGAAGTAGCCAAGGGCAGCAGCAGCAATCCCGAAGGCCCAGATGCGGTAGGTACGTTGGCGGAATACTCGCATGTTGAAGTACTTTCTAAGTTGAGACAGAATGCGTTGGCACAGGGTGCGGACACCTCTCTTGTTTGGGGTGTCCTGGGAACTGGGTAGGAGTGGCCGGTAGGTGAGCGAAAGCAGCGTAAGAATAAACATGAAGGTACTCAGCACCTGGAAGGTTTGGGCGAGCTTGATCTTAGCCCCCAGTGTTTTGATGAGAAGAGGAAAGGATATGGAGAAGATGCTACTCCCAGCAGACACCACACCATTGGCCAGACCCAGACGCCGTTGGAAGTAGTGGCCCAGGATGACGAGAGATGGCTGAAAGGCGAAGGAACAGCCACAACCAAAGAGAATCCCATAGGTGAAATAACGCAGGCTTAGGGAGCTGTGGGAGAAACACCAAGAGCTATTCTCAGCAGCCTGACCAGCAATCCACCTGCCCTCTCCCATCACCCTCCTGAGACCTTCATACCCCCACCATAACCCACAACCCCACTTACCACTGACCTTCAGAATAGACAAAGAACAGGACTTTCTTATCCCTATTTTGCAGATGAGGAAACAGAGTCTCAGAGAAGTAATTTACCCAGTGTAGCATAACTGGGGATCAGCAAAGCTTGGACTTGACTCTAGGTCTGCATGACTCTAGTTTGAATCATAGTACCCCATCAAAGAGAATTGCTCAAAAGAATGTCAGAACCAACCTATGCAATGGCTGGAGAAGAGGCTAGAAGGAGTAAGTCAGGGCCTTAGAACAGTTTCACCTACTGCTCACCTAGACACCATGTGTAGGCTGGTAGCCAAAGCTTTATCCCAAGTAACAACAAAGGTCTGCAGGAAGCCAAGATCCTGGAAGGTCAAGATCTTCCATGGGACTCTACTATCTTTCTCTATGCTCAGGGCCCTTCATATTTCAGAAAATGGCTGGTAGGTTCCTGAGAAACCTCATCCCCAACCCTACCCAAGGTCTGGATATCCCAAGACCCTTTACTCCAGACCTTAGATGATCTCCGTGGGGATCCTGAAGTAAGGAGTCCCTTTAACTTCCAGATCCTGGCTCCTGTTTGCTGGACATGGTATGGCTTAGCCTCCCAGAGTAGCCTGACTGCTTGATGAGAAGTGGAGCCTCAAAGAAATTGTGGGCCTGGCCAAGTAAGACAGGTTCTGGCTTAAAACTCTTAGGTCCTGCTGTGGCCATAAGCCTCTGTAACAGAAGGCAAAGTGTCAAAAGAGAAAAGGCCACGGGAAGGTCAGCTTGGCCAGCCGTCTGCCCTTAGACAATATTGGCACAACCTAGTGAAGAATTTTGTTTTCTTTTTGAAGTTTCCACATATTTTGCAATAGTTCTTATCCGACCATTTAATTAACTAATACTCTCCATGGTCAGGCCGTTGCTCTCCATAGATGGACCCAGTCCTCATACAGCAAAGGATTAGGCCTCTGCTATAGAGATGATGTGGTGTTAGCACTCATGATTCTAAGACAACTATATCACCATTGCTTTCCTTTATTTTTATTTAAATGTTTATTTAAATTCCAGTTAGTTAACATACAGTGTAATATTAGTTACAGGTGTACAATATAGTGATTCAACACTTCCATACAACACTTGGTGCTCATCCCAACAAGCGTACTCCTTAATCCCCATCACCCATTTAACCCATCCCCCAACCCACTTCTCTGGTAACCATCAGTTTGTTCTCTATAGTTAAGAGTCTGTTTTATGATTTGCCTCTCTCTTCCCGCACCCCATGTTCATCTGTTTTGTTTCTTAAATTTGACATATGACTGAAGTATTTGTCTTTCTCTGACTGACTTATTTCACTTATCATAATACTCTCTAGCCCCATCCATATTGTTGCAAATGGCAAGATTGCTTTTCATCTGCTTATATTCACTGGATATGAGCAAAAGCTTTAGTTTTAAAAGGGTTGCCTCCACTTGGAACACATAGCTTAGCCAACTGCTCCTCTTCTGTCAGATTTTTGGAGACTGGCCTGGTCTGGGGGCCTTGTGTAAGGGAGAGGAGTTAAGAAGGTCTAAGGGAGACCTTCAAGGAGAGGTCCAGCAAAGCATGGGATTTAGTTCAGAGTGCTGTCTGATAGATCTATTTCTAGCAGGGCCTCAAGACAGGAAGCCCCTGCATAGGCTTGCCAAGACTTCCCCAGCCCTGCCTACACTCTGTCCCATCTCATGCCATCTAAAAGAACTCAGAACCCTGATTCAGACAACAGGAAGGATGACTTAGAGCGCTAGCCACAAGCAGAACCATTTTTCCACTGGACATGAAGCCATCCAGAAAATTTCTTGGCTCTAAAGATATTCTTACAGAAAAGGCAAAGGGGGTGGGGAAGGGCTTAGGGGCTGGAGAACAGAATGCCTATTCCATTGTGCCTAAAGATGAGTGCCAGAAAAAAATACATCCGAGCTCCTTCCCCTCCTGTAACTGAGCTGATGTGTACTGGAAGAGAAATGGGATCCGTATGTTGCTAATTTGTTTACACTTTGCTCTGCTCTGCGTTAAAAAACAGGGCTCTGCTGTGTAGTGCTGAGACTGGAGCCACTTCTGAGGCCTAGCTCCTTCCCTCAAGGGGCCAGGCACCAGCTTGCTGAAGGCAAATGAGGCCAGCCACCAGAGGGATCCTGAAAGGGTTTGGGAGGGGGGGCTGCCATAGGAGAGCTGAGCACATTCCAAGCAGGACATGGTTTTCCCCTCCTCTGTCCCAGTTGGATGGGACCAAGCCAAGAAATCATTGTAGGCCATATCCAAGCTCTGCTGGAGGGTAGGCTGGGTAGCCAGAAATGCTCAAGTCAAAAAAAAAGCTGGCTCCCTCTCACAGGGCCCAGTTGTGGCAGAACCCAGTTATCATTTTCCACTGTGAGTGGAACCTTAGGCCTAGAGAGTATAACCATAGTCCTTCTCTGGTGAGCCAAGATCAGAAAGCAAGTCCCTGACAAGTTAGCCATGTCTCCAGGCCAGCATTGTCATACACCAGCCCAGGCAAATTGGAAGTAGGAAGTATAAAAACTTCCAAAGTGTCTTTGGCAGAAAGTCAACAGACTTCTTTAGGAGTCCCATATTCCTCAGGCCATGGTGGAAGGTTTTTATTTCTCCCCTCCCCTGCAGACATGCTTCTGCAGGGTTGGCAGAAAGAAACCAGAGAATGAACTTACAGCCTGCTTCTTGCCTGATACTGCCAAGTTTTGACAGTAGGACCAACTGGACCAGAGTTTGAGGTTAGCCTAGGCCTAGCTGGGTAGCTGGGTGCTAGGTCTAGACCCCCAGTGGGGGATGCTGCTAAACATCCCTTCTCATGCCCAAGACATGATCTTTTTTCTTTCCCAAATTATCTATACATTGGCAGCCAGAAATACCTGGAAAGGAGCCAGAAATGCTAAAAAGCCTGGGGTTCAGCTGACTTCTTTTTCAATATAAGATTCCCTCAGGAATCCTGTAAAGTAGGTGTTTCACATGCGTTCACTCCAGAAGCTCATTCCCAGGAAGGCAAGTGAGGTCATGAGTTGTGTGGCATATTGAAGGGGGAATAGAATGGCAGAGCTGGAAGAGACCTGAAAAGACTATCTGGTCTAATCCCCTCATGTTACAGATATAGAAACTGAGATAGGGGAATGGTACTCATCATTGAGTGGCTATAGCCATTTAGTGGCCAAAACTGGACTTAGGCCCAGCTTTATGAACTCCCAAGCTTAGGCTTCTCCCACCACTTTGGAAATTTGGGGTCCTTTTGGGGGATATTGTATACCAATGTGTCCTGGAGACCCTACCTAGATGAATTCCACTGGACAGTGATTCTCAGGAGCAGGGTCTTTGAGGACCCTACATGGAAAGGGCCACAGCGGATTCTGCAATGAGAAGCGTCCCCAGTTGAAGCACAGAAAGAAGCCAACCTTCAGTCTCGGGCAAATGGCTAGCAACTCCTAGCCTTACCTGGTAAAGGAGCTGGTATGGAGGCCTATGAAAGCGACAGCAGCCCCTGCAGTTGCTGTGATTCGGCAGCCCAAACGATCAGTGAATATACTCACAATGGGAGAACAGAAGAAGATCATGCCCATTGAGAGGGCTCCTACCCATGCTGCAGAGAAAAGAAGCACAAAGACAACTTAGCTTAACGTGGTACCCAGTGATGCAGCTGGTATCTCAGTTCTCCTTCTCTGGCCTTTCACAGGGGACATTGCATTGGCCTCACTGCCATCCTGCTAGTCCCTAATGGTCAGAGAAGTTAGGTGGCTTCCATAAGCACCTGTAGTGGGGCAATGTGAGAACCAGGAGTTTAGTTAATAAGCACACCTAGAACTTCAGAGCTGGGGTAGGGGGCCTTTAGAGATCAAGTCTATGACGGGATCTTCTAGCTAGTCACCACATGGCTGTACTACATTTCTCAGCTACTTTGGCTGTTTGGTATGACCATATGACTGAATTCTGACCAATAGGATGTGTGTTAAATAATATACACCACTTCCAGGCCAGGACCATAAAAAAACTCCCATGAGATTTCTGCTTTCCTGTGAGCTACAACCACAAAGTGACCTTGCAAGCCATGTATTAAGACTGGTAGAACTGCCATCAGTTCCGTCTGGGCCCCTAGATAACTACATGGAGCAAAGTTCCCTCACCAATCTGGAACCCCTTCCCTGAACATTGCATAAGAAATAAAGAAACTTCTTTTTTTAAATTTAAATTCAATTAATTCACATATAAAGTATTATTAGTTTCAGAGGTAGAGTTTAGTGATTCATCAGTTGCATATAACACCCAGTGCTCATTACATGAAGTGCCCTCCTTAATGCCCATCACCCAGTTACTCCATCCCCCCACCCACCTCCCCTCCAGCAACCATCAGTTTGTTTCCAATAATTAGGAGTCTTTCATACTTCCTGTCCTTTAAGCCACTGAATTTCTGAGGGCCATTTGTTAACAGCAGTTAAACCAACATAAACTAAAACAAAAAGATTCCTCCACTACCATTTTACTGATAAACAGGCCCAGAAATGTGAAGGGACTTACCAAAGATCACACAGCAAGTTAGTGGCAGAGCTGGGACTCAAACCCAACTCTTCTTATTCCTAGTCCAAAGTTCATTGTATTATGTCTTCTATTGGGATGAGTGAAGCTTTCCATAATTGGAGGTGTGCAAGCAGATGCTAGATATAAAACAGGGGATTCAAGAATCGGGGTCAGATTTGGACTAGCCAACATTTTAGGCCCTTCCAGGCATGCTAAGCCAGATTTATAGCCTTAAGCATGTTCTACCTGGCTTCAGGGCCAAGGAGCATGGGAGTTAATTGAGCCTTCAGGAGCTAAGGTAAAGCTTGTGTTGGCCATTGGAACAGTCCTATAAAGATATTAAGACTAAAGAGCAGGGAAGTCCACAGACAAAGGCCTCCTCGAATTGTATGAGGAAACAAGGCAGATTTAGGAGCCACCCAGAGATTTCTAAGGACACTGTGCAAGAGGTCATGTAATCCTTCATCAGAGCCTATGTTTGGCAAATCCCTGACTCCAAACTCAAATAAGAAGAGTTTATTCTGTTTATAAAGGTTCTTAACTGTCTGTAACAGTCCTCACTGGGGAGGAAGAAATTTACCATTTTACTTAGATTCTTTCAGCCCATTTCCCTTTACTTACCCCTCAGAAAGAAAGCTCATTTTTTTTTTCTTTGAAAGCTGTTATCAAGTTTCTTCTTAGGCCTCTTTTCTAGGCAAAATAATATTAGTTGCCTTAACTTTTTTCCTTAGCTTTAATTTCTAACTCTGTACTTTCAGAGCTCTCCTCTGAACATGTTCCAAGTCTTCATATCATCATCAAAAAGCATTCACTGAGTATCACCCGAGCAAGGTACCAGGACCGTTTCTGGCTCTCTTCTATCGTGGAACCCCAAGTTGCTTAGAGGATTGCAGTCTCAGTTGGGTCAAGGCTAGTCCACCATCTGTGTCTCTTATCTCAATGCCTAAGAAGTTGCTCAGATCCCCACTGGGAATCTTTGCTTTGCTGGGGCACCAACTTGAGCCCTAGCTGCCTGGCTTCAAAAGTACTGGCCTGGGACGGCAGGAAACCTGAACTTTCTCATCACAATTTTACCTCTTATCTTGCAGTTTCACCTCTTATCAGCCATGGGACCTTAAGCAAGTCACACAGCACTTCTCTAATCCTGTCCTCTTATCTGTAAAATGGGGATTAAAATTCCTGATGTGCCTTCCTCCAAGTTTTCTTTTAAATAATAATCAGATGTAATCACACTTAAGAGAGCTTTATAAATACCAATAGTCACACCATATACAAAAATTAATGCAAATGGATCATAGGCTTAAATGTAAAACTTAAAACTAAAAAACTTACAGAACAGAGTGTAGGAGAAAATCTTTCTGACCTTAAGGTAGGCAAAGATTTCACAGAAATTAACAAAAAGTATGATCCATAAAAGAAAGACACTGATACATTAGAATTTATCAAAATTTAAAATTTCTGCCTTTCATAAAATACTGTTATCAGAATGAAAAAGCAAGTCACAGGCTGGGAAAAATATTTACAACACACACATCTGATAAAAAGACTGGTATCCAGAACACAAGTGTTAGTTGACTCTCATAACTCAATAAGAATAAAGCAAGCAATCCAGTTTAAAACATGGGCAAAAGATGTGAACAGACATTTCACACATATACACACACTATGAATGACAAGCACAGGAAAATATGCTCAATATCAGTAATCATTCAAGAAATGCATATTAAAGCCACAGTGAGATACCCCTACATACCCACTAAAAAGGTTTTTAAGAAATCACAATGCCTGCTACTAGAGAGGATGGAGGGGAACTGGAAATCTCATACACTGCTGGTGGGAATGCAAAATGGTACACCAACTTTGGAAAACAGTTTGGCAGATTCTTATGAGGTTCAACGTACAATTACCACATGACCTTGAAATCCCACTCCTAGGTATTTACCCAAGATAAATGAGAACTTATGTTTACACAAAAACCTATACCTAGATGTTCATAGCAGCTTTTTTTGTTTTGCTTTAGTTCTTGTTTTTTTTTAATTTTATTTAAATTTTAGGTAGTTAACATACAGTGCAATATCGGTTTCTGGAGTAGAATTCATAATTCATCATTACATACAACATCCAGTGCTCATCATAACACATGCCCTCCTTAATCCCCATCACCCGTCTAGCCCATCCCCAACCCACCTCCGTCCGTCAACCCTCAGTTTGTTCTCTATCATTAAAAAAAGACATCCAGATGGCCAAAAAGACACATGAAAAACTGCTCAACATCACTCATCAGGGAACTCCAAATCAAAACCACGATAAGACACCATCTCACACCTGTCAGGATGGCTAAAATTAGCAACACAAGAAACAACAGGTGTTGGCAAGGATGCAGAGAAAGGGGAACCCTCTTGCACTGTTGGTGGGAACGCAAACTGGTATAGCCACTCTGGAGAACAGTACGGAAGTTCCTCAAAAAGTTAAAAATATACCTACCCTAAGATCCAGCAATTGCACTACTAGGTATTTACCCAAAGGATACAAAAATACAAATTCAAAGAGACACATGCACCCCGATGTTTATAGCAGCATTATCTACAATAGCCAAAAAATGGAGAGAGCCCAAATATCCATTGACTGATGAATGGATAAAGAAGATATGGCATATATATACAATGGAATATTACTCAGCAGCTTTTTTTTTAATAACTGCCAAAACTTGGCAATAACTCAGAATGTACTTTAACCAGTAAATGGATAAGTGGGTATACGTTAATACAATAGATTACAACTCTGCAATAAACAGGAATGACCTATTGATACCAGCAAAAACTTCAACAATTCTCAAAGTCATTACACGAAGTTAAATAAGCCAGACACAAATGATTTTATTTATATAAAATTCTGGAAAGGCAAAACTATGGGGCAGAAAAATAGATCAGCGAGTACCAGGAGGAAGGATGGGGGTGGGGAGAGGATTCATTACAGGGGAGCATGAGGGAACTTTCTGGAGTGATGAAATGTTATATATTTTAACTCTAGTATGGAGTTCATAGGACTGAGCATATAAAAAGGGTGAATATTACCATAGTAAATTATACCTCAATAAATCTGATGTTATTTAAAAAAAGGAGAGGGCAGGGAAGCAGAAAGTGCCAGTGGGAGATTTCATTTATGATGTATGTATTTTTATTCTGGAAGGATTTAAAAAAAATAGTTCTAGTGTATTGTCAAAGAGGAAAATACTACATTAAATCATCTTGCTGACATTTAATCAACTAGAACTCATGATTATTTGGCCCTTCTGAATATCTACAATACAATGAAAACTGAGGACTGGGCTTGAAGGTAACTTTTGTACAAAGAAAGTTTAAATTATATTTGATATAGCATTTTTCTGGTTAATGACATGTGTCCGTCATTATGGTATAATACAGAATATTTTCACTGCCCTAAAAATCCTGTGCTCCACCTATTCATCCTGCCTCACCCTTCCAACATCTGGCAACCACTGATCTTTTTACTGCCTTCATAGTTTTGCCTTTTCCAGAATGTTACATAGTTGGAGTCATACAGTGTGTAGTCTTTTCAGATTGGCTTCCTTCACTTAGTAATATGCATTTAAGGTTTCTCCATGCCTTTTCATGGCTCAATAGCTCATTTCATTTTTAGCAGTGAATAATATTCCATTGTCTGGCTGTACCACAGTTTATTTATCAACTCACCTACTGAACTGAAGGACATCTTGGTTGCTTCCACATTTTGACAATTATGAATAAAGCTGCTAGAAACATTTGTGTGCAAATTTTTGTGTGGACATACATATTTTATATATTTGGTTAAATACTAAGGAGCTCAATTGTTAGATCATATGTTTAATTTTGTAAGAAACTGCCAAACTGTCTTCCAAAGTGGCTGTACCATTTTCCGTTCCCACTGGCAATGAGTGAGAGTTCTTGTTGCTGCACATCCTTCTGGCATTTGGTGTTGTCAGTGTTCCAGACTTTGGCCATTCTGATAGGCATGTAGTGGTATATCATTGTTCTTTATTTTTTTAATTTTTAAATTTAAATTCAATTT